CCTTGTAATCCGAGGGTGCGGGTCCGAGCCTGCGTAGGGACCGGGCGACCCTCGTAGTATCCTTAGCCCACGTGCCACTGGTGGTGGTTGCGCGGCAGCGAAGCGTCGGTACTGTGTACCGGCGTACTGCTGATGCCTTTTTGCCAATGCGGAGGTGTTTTTTTCTTCAGACCCCACTTTGTAAAGTTGCGTGGATATCCGTTGTTGTGTAACAGGTATAGATGGTTCGGGACCACTACAGAAGCGACGACGGGTCCTGCAGAGAAGTTTTCAGAACCGACGCAGCGTTTGTAGGTACGCTGCATTCGATTTACTAACCGCGTGCTTGCATGCTAAGTCTCTTTATTTCAGGTGGTGGGTTTTCAATTTTGCCTTAATGCTTTTCTTTCTCATATAAATGTCCACCTGTACTCTATTCCATTAAATTGCACACCACGCTTAAGCCAATTGTATTCGATTTCCATAACATTTTTGGGTTCGTGGCATTTCCGTAAAGTATACTTTCTGACCTCGTGAACTTATCTAGGATTAATTTGTAAACAACTTATTTCATATGCTCATTAACTTAAGGTTTATGTCACCGTTTCCTTATGCATAAATCGAGTTATTTTCCTTGTCCCTCTCTCTCAAGTGATTGGCTGTTGTTTGATATCCCCGGTGTGACTGCGCTTGATGTGCATGTTGACAAGGTGCCTACCTGTCTATTACCTAATACCTCGTCCATACTGGCTCCAGGAGACAGTTGGTCGTTCCTGGAGCGGACGAGGTGCATGGTCCTTGTGGCCGTGCTAGACTCAAAGAGTCGTTCCATGCACTCAGTGTGGAGCGGACTACGGTCCAGCCACCGCCTTGTGTGCGCTTGATTCCCAAATACAGTGTGCTTGTGTTTGCCTGTGAAGGAGTGTGGGCAGGCTCCGTTGATGAAACGTGGCTCCCATCCGCATACCTCCCGGTCTTATTCCTTCGGGTTTACACTGGATATGGGGTGTGTGGTTGGAGCTGTGGGTGGTGCAGCGCAAGCCATCCATGGTCCCTCTGTAGGCGCAGGCGTCCTGTGGCTGGCCCCAGTGACAGGCAAATCTGAAACCGGATGCCGCCAACCATAGATGGTTCGCCTCCTAATTTAACAATTCTACACTGCTGCCTAAAACCTGTAATTGGTTGCGCGTCATGGTTAAGGTCTTGAGGAAGAAGGCTATTAACCTTTTCCAACCTCGGAAAAGGATGTTGAGATTGCGACGGTTTGGCCCCTAACCGTTGGTCGGCCTGAAAGCAGCGGTTCTGAAGGCACATGGAAAGTGCCACCCACTGTAGCTCAATGGATCACGGAGGCACAAAAACCATCGCACAAGCTTAAGGTAAGGCACCGAGGCCAGTGAGTAGCCGCGGAATGATGGCTATGAGGAGTTTAGGGATAATAGAAATAGTGCCGATGCCTTGGTGGTTCTTGCACTAGGTTCTTTAACTCCTATCTTCAATGGGAGTTAAAGGGTACCAAAGTGAAGGCATCCCTTCAGTGTCGACAAACAAAACCACCAAATAGTTTTCCTCAATTTTCAGTAATGAGAAAGGAAGGGTGTCGGATCTAGGTGCGCGTACGCGTCAAATCGCTTCCAGTCATAGATGTATCAACTTCCCAAGTAGGTGTTGATGATACAGAAGGTCTACTGAACCGTTTTTCAGGATACATTCAACGTGGAAGTGCTTGATAATATAGCAACTGTTCATCCTGCTCAAAGTTTGTCTCACTTACTGATGGCATGTTTGGATCCGTGCTCCGTGTTGGTAGGGACATTACTAGGCTGCTCCAAAGAGCACTGACTTTCACTATGTCACGGGTCATTGCCCCCCACCAACGCTCCTGGTCAACACTAAGACAACTAGTCAGAAGTCGTCTTAGGGTGTTAAGGACTTGGTGAAGAAGTTTAATGGACAGAACAAACATACTTAACACAATAAAATTAATCAACGATTCAGAAACTCATCCACAGTTCGCACTTAGCGATATTTCTCAACGTGAAATAGAGCACAAATGCTGTTCCTGAGCAGCCCATCAGTTGTTCCGGAGTTAAGTCCCCTCTTTCAAGAGGTTTGGACCGCCGTAGCAATCCCGTCTGGTTGGAGTCTAGCGGAAATCGTACCAGTCTTCAAAAGGGTGCCCGGTCAGACTGTGCTAAACACAGAGGGATTAGTTTCATCTGTGTTGCATCTAGAGTGCTTGCCGCCTTGCATTTAAGGAGGCTCAGCCTGGTGCGCGAACAGAACTTACGGGAAGAGCAAGCGGGGTCCCGCTCTGGCCGGAGTTGTATCGATCACATCTTTACTCTCCAACAATTACTCGAGCATCATCAAACGTTCGAGCGGCCAACGAGCCGTGTTTGACTCAGTTGACGGAGCTGTTCTCTGGAGCTATCTTTTGAGAAGAGGAGTGCCTGAGAAGTACATCAACATTTTTTGAGCCATCTACTCTCGAACCTCGGGCCGAGTGTGGGTGTACGACGAACTTTCGCTCCACATTAGTGTCACCAGTGGCGTGAGACAGGGTTGCCCAGCATCACCCTTCTTGTTCAATATCGTTATAGATGACATCCTGGAGAGAGCTCTGGAGAACTGCGCACCCAGAGCGTTGAGCTGCTACCGGAGGACCGACTTCGCGAGTTGGGGTATGCAGACCACATCACCGTAATTGTTGATTCCTCACAGGCCGCCCAAAATGTGCTGTGCAGCTTAGAGATGTCTGTCTCCAAGGTTGGAAAGACTTTCACCCCTTCGAAGTGTAAGGTCTTCGTACAGGACTGGCTAGGAGGTGCTGCGACCTTTACCCTTCCAGGTCATTCTCTGGAGGTGGTAGACAAGTTCGTTTACCTCGGAAGCTGCATCGGCGCTAAGGGTTTAACAGATGAGATATCCTTGCGCGTCTCTAAGGACCGGGTTGCGTTTGCTAATCTCTGCCACCTCCGGCGTCGACGTGACCAGAGTCTTACCTTAAAGGGCCGAGTCTACAATGCCACATTGAGAGCGGTCCTGCTCTACGGTTGTGAGACCTGGCCTGTTTGTGCAAAGGACGTCCAGAGGCTATCTGTCTTCGATCGCCACTACCTTCGGAGCACTGCTGGCGTACGGTGGCAACATCAAATTAGTAATGAAGATGGGCACCGAAGGATTTTCAGATCAGACAGACTGCCGGCCACTGAGGCGCCTAATTTCACTGCATAGGCTTCGGTGGCTTGGGCATGGGCTTCGCATGCCTACTGAGCGTTTGCCTCACCATGTACGCAGCGCAGGCAGAATATGGCTGGAAGCGAAGACAAGGCGCCTGGCGAATGACTTAGGTCAAAAGTATGAAGGTGATGATATCACACTTGACCGCGGTTGAGCGCTCTCGACTTCCTGGTTAGGGGCACAAGGATCAAGAGCACACACGACAGTAAACCGTATCGGACATGTCAAGAAACCGTGAGCAATGAGGAACATATCGCGAGACTCTACCCCCATAACTGCAGTTCAATATCTTTTTAAACCCCTATTATTTTATTATCTTTGTCCATATGTCGTGACACACTGCTAATTGTATTGTTGGCCAAGTGTTCAATATATATATATATATATATATATATATATCCCACTTAATAAGCGAGTACCTGAGATAAGTGCATGGATTAGTTATGGGATTCCGTGGAACGTATGTGACGCTCGTGACTCCCTCAGCTATTGAGATCTGAGTCCGATGGACTTCTAATCAACACGTACCCTCCGTTTCAGCCAGTGTCCGATAACCCGTTCAGTTGCACTGTGCTCGGTGCCAGTGGAGACCCATTTTCAAGATTACAGCAGGTGCACATACTTCTCGGATATCCAGCGTTCGGCGCACTGATAGGCGACAGTACCGAAATCAGAAACCCTCAGGTAGAAGGCTTAGTTCCCTAGATATGTTACTATGTTAAAAGAAACTAAATCGTGGTCTGGTAACCTAATCGAGCAATCACTCACCTCCCTGTAACGACAATTCCAACAAACGATTACCATGGTATGATTGGACAACTGTTAGTCTTTGGATTAGTTGATAGCTTTTCTTTGTTCATCAACTACTACGTGCTTATGGGTATCCGGCACAAGCATTGCTCGCGATTCGCCGCGCATTATCGTCCATGCTAAGAGAAACACGCGCCAGGTTGATGGCTATGAGTAAATCGAGGATGATTCCGTATGGGATTTCTGTCGAGAGGGAGACAGCTACTCCCACATGTGAGCCAGAATTCATGCGGCTTAATGCCACACAGAACTCGTTGTTCACGAGTTGAGAGGGTTGGAGACGGAATTACTTACTGTGCTAAACACAAATATGGTATACAGTGAATGCGTGTGTGTAAGTATTCTAGGACAACACCATCTGTTGCTTACGTGCTCTCAGGGACTAGATGAGTCGCGGACCTCAAACCAGCGCCATGAAGAAGTGAATCATAGTCATTTTTCGGTATTGTAGCCTGATGTAACTGCTTTATGTCACAAAGATCTATCGTTCTATTATCCATTATGTAGCTGCGCAGTGGTTTTGTTCTATGCTCGAATAGATGTGGTTGAAAGATTTATCAGATGGCACTACGGTCCACAGAAACTATACATTCTCTGTTATGATGGGGGCTAAGAATTGGGTTGGTCACACAGGACAATCGGTGGAACGGTGAAACGGACTGCATTATGAACATTCAGCGATGAAAAAGACGCGGATGATCAGAGAAGCTTAACGAGCGATCTTAAGTGCAAAGAGCTAGCAACTTGATATCTAGTGAACACAACAAATAAATTTAAAAATCAAACGCAACCATAGATCGGATGTCATCCGAACACAGATTCACGACCAAAAAGTATGCTTTATATAAGATAGTGTTAAAAAGCAACGATAAACACTAGCCGTTTACACCTCAGGGGGGTTCTGCAAAAGTTGCACAAGCCACCATATGCAATCGAACGATTCAACAAGAGGGACGCAACATGCTTACCGCATCCAACATGTTATCTTGAACAAATGCATCCATATCCTCGGCCTCTTCGTCCTCGTCATCATCCTCTCCCAATGTGTTCGGTGTGTCTTCACACAACCCAAGCCTGTTCGCTATGTTCGAAACTTCATAAGAGGGAATCATCATTTCTGGAGGGCTGTCGGCTTCATTGGATAAATGAACGGTGAGAGGTGCAAAAATGAAAGCAGCATGCCGCTTGCAAGTGAAAAAAGAGCCCAAAATATAACAACGGGAAAAACGTAAGAAAATAGTGAAAGATGTGTTTTGGACCAAAAAGCTCGGTTACATCGGCAGAGAGTCGTAGCATCGTTCGTTGTCTCTGATTGTGACAGAGAACCACACATACTCGACGGTTTGCAACCGCCCGTCGCAAGCTAACTAGCCCCTGATTAAAGAGGTGCAAACTCACGATAACCGTTGGCCGTAGGTGTAAGTGCGCAAATCAATACGGTGGAAACATACGCACGAACTATTCAGTCTTTTAAGGCCTTAGACAGATCCCAAATGGGACTCAACAGTCACAGCCAAAAAATGCACCTGCTCACCACTGCTTCCTGAGACAGACAATTGAGCCAAGGGTTATGGATAGACCTATGATACAACTTTTTGATCTGGGGGGGGGGAGAAAAAGGAAACTTCGAGTAAAACCCTTTGAGAGTAGGCAGCAAAAGAGAATCAGCTACCCACGAGAAACCGTCATCTTCCGCTTCCCTTCTCCCCATGTTCCAACGAAAAACCGCCACGAGCATGTCTAAGACATACATTCAGGAAAGACCATACCTCGAAAGACGTATGGGGCACCATTCCAAGTTCGGTCTTCTAACGTGCGAACAACAAGTTAGAAAAAATTCAACAGGTGACATTCAGTATGACTTCACACACTATCGGAGTTGTGATGCGTGTCTCTAGAGCAAGCACACAGGACAACGGCAATTAAATGTATCTGCAACTACCGGACCCAAATCCCAATCGAGGAGCCTACATGCTCCAAATCTCGGATAAACCAAAGGTTAGGAGGTGAAGATCTGCGGTGTTGCAGTGGAGATAAGTAGAAGCGTGAAAACTGTTCGCAACAGGTAGATGCTGGCGAACAATCACATGTATGCTGTTCGGCTTGGATAATTGATTAGAAGGCAACAAGTAAACAGGGACGTTTTTTGTTTTGGTTTAAGCTTCGATGGACTGCAGCCCAAAAGCTATCCAGAGTGAATTTTATCAAAAGCGCTATTCTTTAACTTGAATGGTAGTAAAAATGGCTACCGCGAATGCTGCGGCGTTCAAACCGGTCACCAATCAGAGTTAACAGGTCACTACTTGAGCTGTGCGTTGAAGACAATAATAGGGCAACAGCACAGCCTCACGGGAAAAGCTGAAAAAAGAGCAACATGGTGACTACTAAGTGATAGAATGCTTTGGACCCAGATTGGTCGCATGGCCATAAGTTATGGGACAGCAAACACCAGTTCAGCAACAGTGATCAATCGGAAGCGCTTGCTCCTCACTAAGCACACCTTCGTATCTGACCGCGTAACACTTAATCAAACGAAGTAGGCACAGGGTACAACTTCGAAGACGTCACTTTAAACAGCATTGATGCGAGTGGAACCGGTTGTCAAGGCTCGTGTCCTCGGGACAGCGATAATTAAAGATGACAATGAAAGAGCCAAAGCACAACCATGATATAAAGACAAGGGTTAGAAAAAAGCGGGTAAAAGCAACCGAGTTAGAACCATGACAGCTACATGCAAGAGATAGAATGCAGGAGGGCCACTGGATCGTTAAAAAGGATAAAAGACCAATGACCTGTACCATCTCGAAGCACACATTCCCGTCGACTGCACGCCCCAACAGGACCCCACGCTGGCCCGTGGCTTAAAGGATCACAAAGTTGCATTGTAATCCGAGGGCGCAGGTTCAAGCCTGAGTAGGGGACCGGGCGACCATCGCAGTATCGTTTGCCCATGTGCTACTGTTGGTGGTTGCGTGGCAACAAAACGTCTGTACTAAGTACCGGTGTAGTGCTGACGCCTCTTTTGTACTGAAACCACAATGAACTTTTGTGTGTTCTTACCACATATCCTGATCACCACGTGATTTCGCTCGACTAGGTGCAGCGACAGTATCTAGCACACGCTGAAGCCGAGGATCACCGAATTACAATGGATGCGGCTTTCTTAACGCATGCGGTCAAAAGTTAAGAAACTCCAGCGGAGCACCAGAAGGACTGTTCCTAGACAACAGCAAGTGGACCACATTATTGCTCATATGACACACGCCAAACGTGAGCAACATATAGCAAAAACTAATAACCAAAGATATTTCGCTTATTGTCTTCAATGCGTACCTGCCACGACACTGATCCACATAGTAACGGGGGCCCTACCGCGGTGCTGTGCACTCTAACCACTAAAAAGTTGATACACCGTCGTCACAATTTCAAAAGTACCTGTTCATAAACTGTGTTCGACACGCACAAACTAGTGACACCAATCCGGATGGCTCCAAATGCGACACATAAGAAGAACTCGCGGCCGCCTATCCTCTCAGCTTGGGGTGGCTGAAGCACAAATGTTTCAGTCAGGATGTTTGTTTCAAGGTGGCCGCAATACAACGAAACGTCGCCTAAGTAGGAATCCAAGGATAAACTATCGACCATGTTGGATGGTGAGGACTCCTGAGACTGAGACGGCTAGCGAAATTAGGGACACCAGAATGCGATGCATAGGTCTAAGAAAGGCACCCAAGGATGAGATTGTGGCCAAGCGAAATGGATGGCTGATTCATCTACAGTAACGTTGAGCAGAAGAGTGGACTATGTATTTTGAAGTGCATTCAGAGTAGATACAGTGTATAGGAAGCCTCAGGTGGGTCACCGGAACCAAGCTGGAATTAAGAAGTAACAACCCTCATCGGCTAGGAGATCCAACACCAACTGGTGCTACTGAAGCGAGACCAAGTAACTGGCCTAAACAACATTTCACTATCGTAGCTGAAGGAAGATGACGGTTTACTAGTTACTGCCTTGGTTGCTTTGATCGGCACTCTAGCGTGCGAAAAGGGAGTGACGTCTGACTGCCGGTTGTCAGGCTCAACCCTTATAAAAGCCCAAAGGACACTGAAATAAGCATTATGGCAACAACCACCTTTCCAGTGCATATAATCTATTCATATCCATCGCGCTGTACCTCGTCTCTGATCCTTGGAACTGATTCAGTGAAAATCAGGCTGGCTTTTGCCTCAAAGAGGCCTATTGTGCACAACTTCGCACTTCACCAGTTGATTCAAAATGACACTAATAGTTTTTGACTTGAAGACTAGCATCGATTATGTTGGTTGCAATTGTTCGTGGCAGTGACTATCTCGAGTGTGCCAGAAAAAGATTCTTCTATCGCGATTCTTTGGGTCATGTAAGCATTTACGGGAAACTGCCTCTAAGTAAGCCACGAAAAACAAAGCGCATCAGCGCTGTCCTATCTCTACTCATTAACTTTTGATCCATTCCCAAAATAACCTTGAATGAATCCCTTTGCTTTAGGCTACATGAGCTGAGGTGCAGATTTTATCGAGCGATTTCTCGCTTACAGTGGGGGGATGATCTGAAAGAGGAATGAGGCATCGGTAGTACGGCACACGTCGTACCGAGGCGTCGCTGCCACGTGACCATCAACAGTCGCTCAGATGCTGTGCTGTTCGTCCACCTGCGGAACTTAATAGCAAACGTGTCATCCCTATTCGTGGTGACATCATCGGTGTAGGAGTGTTAGCAAAGAAACAAGCTGATCACATTAGGTAACGGATAGTAAGAGCACACAACATAGCGCTAAAATGGTTGAATTCAGTGCACATCCAAGGTAACTCGCCTGGTCTCCAGAAAAGGTGGTACACAGATTGAGTGGTTTACCGCATGGATAGCTACTGTACTCTTCAAGGAATCCAGTTTTGAGCTAACCATCAGAATGACTTTTCGAAGAATCGGATAACTTGGGCACTATGATACAATGACACCATAGTTAATGGCAGTGATATTGACATCTGCGTGCAAATACCTAGTCCCCCACAAAAAACTCCTTCATATTTTTCCACGGTAAGCTGGAGTGACATTGTTTTGGGGTCTACGGCGTTTGCAGATAAATACTAGCATAATCTCGATTGATGGGTATGTTAAGGAATTCGGATGAATACAATCCGAGGAGCTCCTTGTGAACATAAGGTGTAACGAAAAGCCGATTCAACGTGATGAAGTCAGTGAGACTGTAACCACATCTAACGTGCCCGTTTGGGCACCCGATGCACTTTACAAGTTCCATTTGGAAGATTTGATGCTGGGTAAGGTTACACGATTTTGCCGATTCATCCTTATCCACGACAACAGTAGTATGCCAGCAGTCAGAAACCACATTGTCATATAATCAGGGCGGCCTAGGAAATGAAATGGACAGTAAAAAAGACCTAGTGTAGAACCCAAAAACTACAAGCAAGCATCCGAAATCAATGCGCTTGCATTGTGGCAAAACAAGATGATCACGAACAGTTGGCTATTACAAGGAGACGATGAGACCGGTGAGACAGTTTCCTTGCGAACTTCACTGCCCCGAGTCATAATCAGGCTTACAGTACAAGGAACTCAGCAACAGGCACACACGCAGACAGTCCGACTGGGAGACGAGCGAACGTACCATTGTTGCCGCTCGCGACTCATGTGTGGTTAGGCCGTGGTATCCGAAGCCAGGCCAATCTGAAACTAAGCCAGCGTCTATTGATGCCGGTGGCGACTAACGTAGTCCACTCACGATACCCTCCGTAAAACTGATATTCACTATTCCAGAAGCATGACGACTGCAAGCTTTCTAGTGAACACGATGTGCCACGATAGCTGTGGGGTACTTCACATTAATAGCTAATGTGCATAATAACGGGAATGATGAACACCATGGGCAATCCATAGGTAGTGGCGTAGATCTGCACTGTATATCATTGTTTTAATGCTGTGTTACAAATAGAGAATAAGCACGTTGAAAAGACGTCAATTCGTAAAATGACCCTTATCGAGCAAAAGCAGATAGATGGTGATATTCATCATTGAGCATAGTGAACCAGTGCAAGAAACGCAAGTTAGGGAGGGTGTCATTTGAACACATGAGGT